GTGGGAGATACTGATCTCGGCAATGCCTCTGTGTGCTTTTGCCAATCAAAGGCATTTACAGTATGTCAAAACCATCAGTGATTACTGCTCTGCAGCTTTAATTCTCTCTTTTTGCAAAATAAAAGGACTTGTTCTTGCGGTTTCTGTGCCCACATAAGCATCTCTGCATGCTGATGTAAAGTTTTTCTTTTCTGTACATGGGGACCTGATCGGTATTTCTGCATAATACCCTTTTTATTTCAGTGTAAAATTCTGTTGGAACGTAACAGAACAGAGTCTGGTCTGAAAGCCACCCTTACAGCCTGGCATTCCTGCTCCTGAACAGCAGCTTATCCACAGCACAGAGATTTTGTGATGCCATTCAACATGACACCTGCTGCCCCTTCAAGTGGAAGGAGACACATCTGGGATGCCCTTCTGGCTTGGTGGGCAGAGCTGCCCCTTCCTCCACTGCTGCAGTAACATCAGCCTCCCCAGAAAGCTGCTGTGCCCAGAACAACAGAGACAAAGCCCTGCCGGTTTCTCCGTGTCTCAGAGAGACATGTTTCCCATTTTGCAGGGAATGTAGAGCTCTGCAGAGCAGAACACCCGGGAGGGGGTGCAGCTTCCTCTGTTTCTGCACCAGCCCTCCCAGGGAGCTCCTCCGCCTGTCAGGAATATGCCACGTTATCCCACAGGCAGGCACGGGGATGATTTGTGCTTCTGGGAGTCACTGTTGTCGTCCTTCTCGCTGGGCTATGGCTCTGCAGCGCCAGTCCAGCCCACCCAGCCAGCGCCTTTCTCCCCAGGGTCCTTAACCTCATGGCAACCGAGAAGGGAGCGGTGCAATGTGAGTGCTGCCAAACCCAGCCCGTGACAGCCAGCGGGAAATACTCCCTGAGAAGTCAGCAATTACTCAGCACCACCGAGAGCAAAATATTCGGGCTGCATATACATCCTAGCCTGTAAGCTGTGATGTAAGGATCCTGAAGGATTTCTTGCTTGCATGCTGGTAGACCCTAGCAACACCGTTTGATAAAGCCCTGCTCTGACTTGAGAGGTCCAGTGAATTTTCTGTTCTGTGTTCTTGACCCTAGAAGCCTGGCATTTGTTTACTGAAAAAAAAAAAAACAACCACAGTTACATCTTTAAAGCTGCTGCTTGTTTGGCAAACAAATGCTGGGCAGTGCAGCTCTGCTGAGGTTGTGCAAAAAGAAAGCAATTGTTATTCATTAAGCAGATGACAGCAACGGGAGCTAAGGGGATAAAACTCGAAATCTGAAACCACCTGCTTTAATTTTAGCCATAATTGAAGCGGCTGCCCGTGGTGTGGCTGATGCACGTATCAGATTTGCACGCCATGCGCTGCTCTCGCTGATTTCTGTGGCAGCTCCAGCCCACTGTCTGCTCTGGTTCAGGAGGGGAGGGAGCTCCTGTTTGATTGCAGGTTATAACGGGTACTTTAGAATCTGTTTGTTTCCTTCCAGGAGCAAAATGCAGTCGCAGTCTGATCTCTGATACACAGATGCTTTAGTCATTAGTGAGGTTTCTGTGACTGCAACACTGTGTCCTAGTATGGGTGCACTTCTCTCTTTTGTTCCTGGTTTGAAGCAGCGATGCTTTTCTTGCTCTTGTGCTCATGCGCTCGCTCTCTTTCTCTCTCCCTCCTCCTTCTCTCTGTCTGTCTTTGATCTTGCTGATATGGGGGAAAATATTGGATCCAAATCTGCAGCATATTTAACCAAAACATCTTGTAGAATGGGAATAAATTGTGACTGAGTGCAGCACCAAGAGGCTGCAGTATGGTTGCTTGTACTGCTTGCTTTCTGCTACAACAAAGCAGCAGCAATCATCTTGGAGTGCTGGGGTTGTTCTGCAGCTAAACAAGCACTTAGGGACTTCACATTCACAGAGGGCTAAGGTGGCTTCTCTGGGAATGGGTGGACTGTACAAAGCTCTCCTCTCAGTCTCTAATGCAGGGATTTGCCTGAAACAGGTAAAAAGGAAAGAGATCTTTCCTAATGGCAGAGAGGGTCTCATCCTTCCCTGTATTCCCTGGAGTTTTTGCCACAGAGCTAAATGGTCCTAAGATAACACCATCGCTCCATATCCAACCTTGTCACAGCACTAGCAACTTAAGCTTGAGAGCTGGGCAGCTCACAACAGCATCAGTGAAGGCAGGAAAAATCTTGACCTCAGTTGGAGAGTGAAATGTTAGAGTGGGAGCAGTAACAGTTTATCCTTGAGCTGTTTAGTGCAGATTTATACTGCATGTATTTGTATGTGTATGCCAACTCTCAAAAGCTATGAAAAGCTTTTTTATGGTTTCCTGTGATGAGACATAGTCAGAGGGGATACTTGGATGAATAAAGAAATATGCCGAGAAGGTGAGCTACGTGACAGATGTGTGTGCTGTCCTTTGTTGATTTGGTGCTGCTCCTTAGTATTAAGTGCTGGGAATAAGACAGGAGGCTTAACTCCACTTGGGATATCACTTAGGAGAAGATCCTCACTGCTCTGGAGCATAGCACGTTGTGTGATGTAAGATCCCCATTCCCTTCTGATCAGCATTCCCTACTAAGCATGTCTTCATTCCTCCCCTTTACTGATCATTTACAGCTGTTCACTTTATTTCATGAGAAATTCTGAAAGGGCTGAGGCAGTAACTGGACTGTGCTGCTCTGTAATTCAGCCCAGAGCTGGCACCATGTTTCACGTGGCCAAATGAGATTTGCACTCAAGTCCCAGCAGACACTGTTCATCTCAGTCAAAGGAGTCCACATTTTTCTGGGATCTGGTATCTGGATATCTTCTTGTTGTAATAAAGAGGAGGATGGCTATGGCATCCAGACACTAGAGGTGTGTTACCCCTCTACTTGGTAAACTGCCAGCACAGCCTTTTTTGGTCTGACACGTAGATACTTCCATCTTTCAGGAGGCATGAAATGTTTTGCAGAGTGGGACATGTTGGTGTTTTTCCCCTGCGGTCTTTTTGTCACTCTTATAGTCTAATACCTGTATGTAAATCATGAAATAGTGAGCAAATAGCAGCATTATAGGCACTTACTTAAAAGACAACTAGCTAATGTCAGAAAATGTTGAGCTCTAAAATAGTATCTTTGACAGTCTTTCCTCCATGTAGTCCGGATGATGAAGAGGGCACCAAAAAGCCTGTCATGTTGTTTCAGTTCCTTCTTAAACACAGCTGAGCTAAAAGTGAATGCATGCATTCATCTTCCACCAACAGGTATCTTCCTTCAATGTGCATTTAAATAATAGATTCTCTTTTTATTTATCAATTGATTAGCTTTGCTAGGTAGAAGAAGTTGGGTAACTGCTGTGCCCACAAGGCATGTGACACCTCTGACCATCACAGGCTGTCTCCTGCAGACTGTACCAGGCAGTAAGTGCTTGGTGACACATTGCCCAGTGTGCCAGAGCTCCACACATCCACACCCCCTGAGTTGTGCCACAAGAAAGAGACGGGGAATGGTTTGGAAGTGCTCTTAGATCCTCTGATTTTGATGAGGCTTCAGAGAATGTCCCACAAAGACCTAAAAGATAGGCATCAATCTCTTTTGCAGAAAGGAGTCCAGTTCCACATGTGGCTCTCGTTTCTCCATCCCCAAGGAGTGTCCTTGCAGAAAGACCAAAAGGATTTGAATTCTTGCGAAAGCTCATACTCCTTTGAGAGCTACGTAGCCAGCAGATGCTTTACAGTGAAAGAGAACATCCTTTGAAAACAATCTGTTGCTTATTAATCAACAAGACATCAGTGTTTGGGGTCCTTCAGCAACAAAAGAGAAGGAAAGCACATGTGGGCCTGGCCTCTTGAGTGAAAACATGCAGGTTCCATCCCTGTGCGCTGCTGAGGAGCAGATTTTGTATAGCACTGTTATGTCAGTACTTTGCTCTCAGTTGCAGTGACATTTGGCAGGATTTGATATGCTTATTTTGAGACTGAGTTGCCTTAGACCAGGCAGCAAACCATTCACCTGCTCACTGGTGCTGCCCTATGGATACCTAGATTCATTAGGATCTCTTTTAGCCAGGGAGTTCTCGGGATACTTAATTTCATACACCCACATATGCTCAGAAGTGCCATTTCTGAGGAGGCAGGCTCTTAGATCTTACTTAAAGCTGTGCTGTGTTTCTGGTTTATGTGGGTAGGCACCTGGACTCTCTTATTTCTATTTCAGAGGACTGCAAAATTAGATATGGACAAGAATAAGTCTTGGGCCTCACCTCCTGCCTCACAACCGACACTCTCACTCAGACATCAGGAGAAGGTGTCAGGGCACTGCTCAGCCTGAGGAGTTTGTCCTAATACCAGCTATATCTCAGGAGAACACCCTCACCATCCCTCTCTTCACTTCTCTGCAGCTGTATCTTGAGAAATATGAGGCCAGGGATAAAATGTGAAAGAAGAGATAGAGTACAGAGGGCCATGGTGACCAAAAACGGTTATCAGGATGCTGCAGGGCAAGAAGAGTCCCTGGCCCAACTCCCTGGCATGCATTATGCATTTTACACTCTGTGCCACCATCATCACAGGGAAGAACCACTGAGAGATTGTCCAGTTTTCCAGCTGCAGAGTCTCAGAGATACCATCTGTTCTCCATTTGTTGCAGAAGTTATTGAGGTGGCTGTGTGAGACAGGCAGGATTACCCTCTGAGCTTCAGTGCCTTTGATGAGGCAGCATCTGAAGTTAACACTGAAATTAAGCAGACTTGGTTTTATTGCCCTCGTGTATTATAATGCCCATGAAATCTTTAAAACTTTGTGCCTTCTCCTGGGTCTTCTGTTGTCTCCCTGTAGTGTTTCAGTCATATGCTGACTTTGTCTGACCTGTCTGCCTGAAAAACCAGCAGCTGTCTCCCCTTCCTCACCCCAGCACGCAGTGGGACCTCCCAGGGCTGCAGGATACCTGGGCCAGCACTTCCATGGCTTGGTAGGGATTCTTGGATGAAGGACAACACTTTTGGGAATAATCCTTTTTCCACTGCTTCCTGTCTTACAGATTGATGAACTCCCTGAAGGAGCTGTGAAACCTCCAGCAAATAAATACCCCATCTTCTTTTTTGGGACTCATGAAACGTAAGTGAATGAACATGATCTTTTCCTTTGAAAATGTCTTCTTCCGCTGCAGATAACATCATCTCTACTGATTTTATTGGAACAAATCCTGACAGAAGCCATTGGGAACCTAGAGATAGGTCCTCTGAGCCCAACACATTTGTGTTAAATGGAAGTGAAACCTGAAAGTAGATGGGAATGCTGCTGCCTGTGTGGTGTACCATGGTGTAGGCATAAAAGCCTGTATTGCCTGTAAAGAAATGTAGTGGCATGAATTTATTAAAGGGTCATCTGAGCTCAGAGCCAGGGGCAAAAGTTTTTTACTTGGATGTCCATGATAGCAGAAATCAAGCTGTTGTATTTGGACATGTTTGAGTTCGTGTCCTGTGTGAGAACTCGCTTGGTGGTTTGTGATATGAAAGGAAGCAGACCCTGGAGTCTTACGCAGTCCTCACAGAGCTTTAAAATATGTGCATTCCTGGGAGGTTTGTGCTGGGGATATTGTAGGATGGAGCTCACAGGAGTGATAGAAGAACTGAGCTGGCTGAGCTCATAGGGAACAAAAGGAATCAGAACACAGGAGGTAAGTTAGGTCTTGTAGTAATTGCTACAAAGTACAGAGTTTCAAGATTATAATGTACATGTCTCTACACTATATCTGAGGTAGGTAAAAAAATTATCACAGTTTCCGTTTTGCATGGAATACTTTAATTTTAAAACTTTTCCTTCCCCATCTGCAGGGAACATTTTTTCTAGAATTCCTTTAAAACTGGAAAAAATGAAGTTCTGATATTTTAGTTTGAGAGGCTTGAGGCTGTGTTAAAAATTCATTGTTTATTTTAGAATTTTAATATTTCCAGAACATGATAAGCCCCATATCTCATAGATCACATTTTATTTAAAAAGATCTTTAAAGACCGTTTCTGCTTAATAAAGCTCATAATAACCTCTCTTTACTTAAAATATTTCTTCCTATTGCTGAAATGAAACAAATTGATATTTTGATATATTGTGGTCTACTACTACTGTCACAAAATAATCTGAAAAGAATGCAGTTCAAATAAACTTACGATGCTTTCAAATCAGAAACCAAAATGTAATTATTTTTTGAATGGAAACATCATTCTTGAGAAACATTTTAAGAGAAAAATTCTGACCACTTTTGTTCTGAAGCAGAAAAGCAGTTTGTAGTTGCTACCTTAATAATTTAAAAAGCCTAACTGTTAAAAATGAACTGTAGATTGCAGCTCCTTAGTTTTATAGCAGAGCAGTGGAAACTTATACTCTCCCAGTGGCAATGAATGTATTTCAAACAAAGATGTAGACAGTTTTTCAGTGTTTACTGTACATAAAAGGCAGTGGAAACATTTCCATACATTACTTTTGAGCTAAAATAAGGTAGCTCATGGTAAGTTTCATACAGTTTTTCTTTGTTATTTGTGTTAGAACAGTTTGTATGTATTTTTGACAACAAGGAGACATCTCCTAGTATTAGAAAAAAACATAGATAATTTATTCAGATCCCTTGCTCTGCTGTAGTTTGGAAATCACTGTTTGGCTTTCAGGTAGAAATATATTCTTGGCTTTGTAGTTATAAAATTGAGATATTTCTCAATGAGCCAAATAAGTGTGGATCCCATGCTCGTGTGGAGTTAGAAGAAAGTTCTTTCCTCAGGGACTTGCATCTGATGCCTTTAGCAACCAGTTGGCTCTGCACTGGCAAACTTCTTGGCCAGTGGGATGATTTGAGTGAAACTTTACACATTCATAAATGCTGGGCATAAATCAGGCATTAATCAGAAATAATGTTTACAGCAAGGAGAAATATGACCCTGTGAATAAGATATTAGACTGAGACTGAAGATAGCTGGTTTTTCCTCTGTACTCTGATCTCAGTTTGAGTTTGACCTTGGGCAAATCCCTGTACCTCAGAAGTCCATCTGCAAAAAAGGGCAACTTCCCAACTTTGTGGTGAGGCTACAACAATAAATGTGTTGTATGTGGTGGAGCTCTGCAATCCTGTGGTAATGGAGACCAGAGAGTTAATGTTAATTGCAAAGATCATCAGGAAAGTAGGACAGTGATTATAGTGAAGGACACTGGGACTTGCTCAGCTCCAGTCATTGATGACACAGAATCTTCCATGTGGGAATAAAGGGGTCTTTTTGCCATCACTGTTTTAATTTAACTTGTGATTACCCACCTCAATACCGTGTACAGAATACAGTAGATGCAGATATCCAACAAAAAGAAAGTCATGCTTTCTTCAGTTTTATAGAAGAAGTTAGAATTTTACTGTAACATATGTAGAAAAAGCAGGATAAATCATCACTTTGCTTTTTTTTTTTCCCTTGGTAATTATTTTTCCCTGCATTGTGGTGCCTTTGCCTGAAATTAGTTGGCCCACTGCATAGCTGACTTAGGCAGCAGCAGAGCACAAAATCCCTCCTTTGCTGTGCTGTCTAAAAAACTATTTGGCCACAAGCACCCTGTGTGTCTCATTGTTTCCTTCTATTACTCATCTGTCTATATTCATCCATTGTTTTTTGTCTTATAGGAAATCATAAGATTTTTGGAAAAGAACATTTTTATTGTGTTTTCACAGGATTTAGTATGTGGGGGGCTTATTCCAAAAAAGAAGATCCCAGGCTTACTGGCAGTATAGATAATAATAAATGCCACTGCTTTTTCTGTTTTGGAGTACCAGGGATAAATTTTGGCCCATGGATCCTAGGCACACCTTACATGCTTTAACTGCTCACATGGCATTTTTAGGCCTTTGTGGATTTGTAACACTAAGATTGGAAGTTTGGTCCATTGCTATCGCAGGCAATTACGTCATATAATCCCTTTCATAAACTGTTCAAGTGCCAGTTCCCAGCAGAAGTTAGTATAATAAAGGAGACATGTTTTAGTTGTTTCTAGAGATGATTTTGCTACAGCAAACATCAGGATGGTGAGCCAATCCATTAAATCAGACTCACAGCAGTAGCTCAAAGCCAGTGTGATAAATAAATAAATAAATAAATAAACAAACAAATACATAAAACTGGAAAAGTAATTATGGAATGAGCAGAAGAATGGAGAAAACATTTGCACTGTTAATATTTTTGATTTTTTTGAAGAGGAGGGTTTTCAGTCCTTTTCTGAATGTTACCTTTGTTAAAATGCAGTGCGTTCCTGGGCCCCAAAGACCTTTTCCCATACAAAGAATATAAAGATAAGTTTGGGAAGTCGAACAAGCGAAAAGGATTTAATGAAGGCCTGTGGGAAATAGAAAACAACCCTGGAGTAAAGTTTACTGGATATCAGGTAAATGACTTTCACATCTACTCCTCCTTATCGTTCTTGTTTTCCTCTTTGAAGACTTCTTGTCAGCGTGAACATCGTATGAGTGATGTGGAAGGTCCTGGTTTTGGTGGAGCAAGAAAGTTTTACAGCTTTGGTAATCATGTAATGTAAGGACAACTACGGTCTCACATGCTGTGACAAATGGAACTTTAATCATACTGCAGAGCCCTTTGCTTTCTGTGATATTCTGGGCTGGTGAAGTGGAAAATTCTGCAGCAGATTTAGTTGAATTAAAAACAAAAGGTTTTATTTACTCCAGTATAAACATGAATAATTTCTGACTTCTTCTTTCTGTTGTTTATTTTTGTATCAGGCTTGGTGTATTTTACACAGACCTTAAGGTCACTGCACTTTTGATTTTTACATTGGTAATGTATAACACGTAGGACACAGCTGCCAAAGCTGAGGAGTGAGGAGGTGGAGGGTTAAGCTGCTGTTAGGAGACAGTTGCTGCTGTACAACAGCTCTCCCTGTTGGGTGTCCAGAGCAGAAAGCCAGTGAAGCTGGAGGGGGAGAAGGGTAGTTGGTGGGCTGTATAAAACCAAAGAACTTTTCTCATTAAAAAAATGTGGTACTTTGAAGGCAGAAATCACCTCCAAAAGAAGGCAAACACCTATTACATTATTATCACAAAACCTTACAAGCCAGAGATACAGACCACCTGCAGAAAAGCTGCTGCCCCTCTCAGTTCCTGTTTCATATTTTCAGCCCTACAGATGTTTTGCATACACTTGGGTATTTGAAAAAAAATCTAGTGAATAGTCTGTGGAAGATGGACTGTCAGAGAGTGCTCAGCCTTCTGGTCAGTGTTTGCTTTTTCAAAGCACACAGATCTTGCCCTTTAGGGGATGTAACAAACATCTTCTCTCCTGAGTAAGTCTCTCCTATTGCAGACAAAGTCTAAAAGTTTCCATAGTTTTGCCCAAAGTTAAACATGCCAGGTCTCTCCTCTGAGCAGCTCTTAGTTCTCCAGCAAACACATTTTTGTTATCGGATCTTGTGTTTCCGTGTAAACCCTTCAGAACATGCTATCCCAGAATCTGCATCTGATAACTGTGTTCAAGTGGTGGCTGAGAAAATTGCCTTTGCAGCCCATTTTCTTGATAATTGCAAGAATAACCTGAGCTCTTCCAGACTATACTGATTGAAGTTTAAACTGTCCATTTCCAGTATTTCTATCTTCCATACAGAACAAAAATTAAGTAATAGATTTTAGCGATATTTTTGTTGTTTATGTTATTATTGTAATTGTTATTGTTATTTCAAAGGCAATTCAGCAACAGAGCTCATCAGAAACTGAAGGAGAAGGTGGAAATACAGCAGATGCCAGCAGTGAGGAGGAAGGTGATCGGGTAGAAGAGGATGGAAAAGGAAAAAGAAAGAATGAAAAAGCCGGCTCAAAACGGAAAAAATCCTACACTTCAAAGGTTATCTTCTGAGTTTTCCTATTGTTACCCATGTAACACATATACATATAGTTGTACTACTGTCCACCTCATGGCAATTTGTTCTACTTCAGCCTTTTGATTCCAGTACCATAACAGTGGTGTTCCAATGGGCAAAATGCTCTTGCTTTTGTAGGCAACCTTGGTGAGAGAGCAGTTTAAATACTCTACCCTGTTCTAATGCCCACACTCTGAAGAGGTGAAAGTATGGGAAGGAGTTCAGAAGGGCTGGAAAGAAAGCCCATGCAAAGATGGATTGGTAGGTTTAGACATCTTAGATAGGTCTTTCCCCACAAAGAAAAAAAAAAGCCTTAGGAGTGTGCCCTCTGGGAGTCATGAGTTCAGGTTTAGTTCCTGTCTACGAAAATTCAAGCTTCTTTCTCCCATCTCCAGTGTGAGCACCCCAGCTGCTGAAAGATCTGGTAGGGTCAGATGTGCTAAACTGATCCTCTTGTAGCTGAGTGTAAAATACATCAGTACAGGATACAGAATGGGAAGGAGGGAGCAGGGAGTAAGGTGCTCAATTTGTAGGTAAAAGACCTGCATTGTAGTACCTGCCAGCACAGTTAGTGTCCAAATAACAACGTAGATCAGGAAGCTACAAGTGTGTGTCTGCCTCACAACGGCTCGTGAAGGTATTCACCTGAGTAGTGACACCTTTGGGTTCAGACAGACTTCTTACATGTCACCTGGGTGAAAGGGAGCAACATTATAGTTACTTCCTCTGGTTCTATGTGTGCCTCCAGGTCTGTACTTGACTTAAAAAACTGTGGGAAGTGTGGCTCGTGTTATTCTTTTCTGAAAGTGAAAACTAATTAAAATGAGAAGAATCAAGCAAACAATCTGATCCAGGCTCAATTTGGGGGAGAGCGTGAATTTTTGTGGTTCATCCACTGAACAAAATGTATTAAGTAATTTCACCCCCTTTGTGTGTTTTACATTAGAAATTCAGGTCTGGTCTACCATCTTCTTTCCAGAAGACTCTGGGCAAACAGAGGATTAGGAAAATGGTGGCTTAATGCCACAATTTATCCTTTTGTACTGTAGAATTGCATAACCTAAAGGGAGCAGAAAAGATGTATTGGCTCCACATGGCTTTAATGTTAATATATTAAAGCTGACAGCACTAAAAAAAGTATGGAAAGCAGCTCTGCTAATGTTATTCTCATTTTACATCTCTGTGTTTAATCAAAACTTTTGTCAGGCTGGCACCATCTGTTTCATTAACTAACAAAACCTACAGGTGACCCAACACTAATACCCAGCTCCTATTACTGTGTCTGTCTTTCAGTCAATTGAGCTGCCAACCTGTGCTGAACACACAGAATTTCTCCTTTCACTTTATTGATGGCAGTAACTCCAGCTGCTTCACCTGAAAAATGCTTTTCACCCTGCTTATCTTCCCCAATATTCACCTTGAACAGGGAACTGCATGATCAGACAGCATTTCACATACAGTTCAGAAGTGTCTTTCTATGTCTGAAGGTAAGTTTTTAATTTTAACTTTGTTGTTGATCATTTTAGAAATCCTCCAAGCAGTCACGGAAATCTCCTGGAGATGAAGATGATAAGGACTGCAAAGAGGAAGAAAATAAGAGCAGCTCTGATGCTGGGGACGCAGGCAATGACACAAGAAACACTTCTTCAGATTTGCAGAAAACCAGTGAAGGGGTAATCTTCTGTTAATGTCATTCACTTCCCATGCAGTTTGCTCCCGGGGGGCTTTGGAGCCAGGCTGACCTGTGCATACCATGTACCATCTTCTTGGGTTGCATTTCAGTGCTCAGAATGTGTCCAGAACAGAAACATGGGCCTGGTCCCTGCCCTGGTACAAATTTTTCTCTAGAGATATGACTGAATGAGAAAAGGTACTATAAGCATTATTTTTGTTCCAACACTTGCACTGATGTCAGCTGAGAGGAGCTACTGAAAAACATGATCTGGAATGATGTAAAATTGATGTGAGAGCAGAATCAAACTGTTTGCATAATGCATGTTGGCTCACTAGCAGGGGGAGCCTGCTTACCCTTTCCCAGTTGTTTAAAATTTGTGCAGTCCCACTGTGTTCTTCGGAATTCAGGAGGGTTCATGTGCACATTACAGGCTCTGCACACTGCAAGTTTCAGGGCAGATCCTGCCCCAAGCTCTGACCTTCCAAGGAGAGGATATACGGTCTGTCCAGAGCAGCTTCATACAATCTCCTTGTGTGTTTGTATCAGTTGTGTGTTTTTATCAATATTATTTTGCTGTGACCACAACAACAGAAAGGAAGGCTGCTGAGCAGGGGGATTGGTATGGCGAGTGGTTAATTGTCAGCCACCTTTAACAACCCCTGCTATTTCTGAGCCTTTGAAGCAGCACAAGCCTCCCTGCTCCAGCACTCACAGCTCCAGCTCAGAACCAGTCCTTGTGCAGTTCCCATGCCAAGGCTCTGCCACGTGGCCGAGCAGCCGGGCTGGGCTGTCACAGGAGCTGAGTGACATGAATCCCCAGGTGTGAGAGGAGGCCAGCCAGCACAGGCTCTCATCTGACACTGCTGAGGTGCCTCAGCACCCAGCTGCGTGCTCAGCCTCAGCCCTTTCTCACAAAGCACAGCCTCTGGGGAGTTGCTGTTGTCTCCCACTAAAAGACTCCTCCCAGAGCTTCCTTTCCCCATGTCTCTCTGCAGTGCAGTGTATGTGTTTTGTGGCTCTTTGCTTTATAAAGACTTTGATAGGTGGCTCAGGGGATCAGGAGGATAGTGTTCCCTGAGCCTGTCCCATTCCCTATGAAGAAGCCACTGGCTTGAGCCAGAGAGTGGCACAAGGAGACACTGCCCGGCTGTGCCCTCTCAGCCTCTCACCCACAGACTGTCAGAGGCTGGGGCTGGGGACTGTGGTGAGCAAATAGTGCATGTGTAGCCCACATTCTGTGAACTCTGACACTTCATGTCTCACTCATTTGAGTGAGAAAACTGTTAGTAAAATCTGTCTGAGGTTACAAGAGGTTTGGGAGGGCCTGCTGTGTTTCCCGTATCTGTAGCAGTGACAGCAGTGAACTTCAGGCATGTTCTCCATGCAAGGATAAAATCCTTACTGAGTTAGGTCAGTCACAGACTAAGTGGCTAAAAAGTCACATAGGATGTTGGCTCTGTGGCTGGTGACGTTCATATAGCTCTTCTTTCCATATATGACATGTTTTTAACCATGGGGAGGTTGAGTCCAGCCTGCTAGAACATCGTGGTGCTTCTCAGGGTTTTCAGGATTGCAGGTATTTTGGCCTCTGTGCTGAAATGTCATCAACAGTCTGTGTCCTTCCTGCCAGCACCAACCCGCAGAAATACTCCCAGTCACCATTGTCATACCCATGTGGGGAAGGGCTCTGCTCTGACTTCTGCAACCCCAGCACTCGGCCTTGACCTCACCCTTGAACAATCAGTCTGTAACTAGGGGTTGGATGCTTTTAACATTATGGGAAGGGGGAAGTTTTAGTAGTATGGATTAAAGAGACATGGGGAGATGGTTTTAAGGGCAGCTTGAGATAAAAGCACTAAGTTGCAAAGGATTCACATCCTGATCCATGTATTTTACCTTGGGCATTTCTGCTGCAGAATCAGCATTTCACACGAGAATCTTCAGCATTTCATTGAGCTTTCGTCAGTAGTGCAGTTCTCTTTCAGGACCAGGAGGGGACACTCCATCTCCTCCTGCTCCTCAGAGCCAGACTAGGTGTCTTTTAGGAGGTGTGCTTTTATAGGACACGAGGCACTCAGGGAAAGAGTAATCAGATTTATTTTTCAATTGGTGTTAAACAGACAGTGTTGAACAGTGTGTCTGGATTGGTGGGGTACAGGGCCAGCTGTCCTGCAGCCACAGCCTGAGGGACACCCAGACTAGGGCTCTGCTGCAGGGCATTGAGCTCCTCCAGCCCACCACACTTGCACTTCTCTTCTGTAGAAAGGAAGGTCGAAAGAGACAAACACGTGCCTGCAGAGTTGGCATTTGGTCCTTTTGTTCACACATATGAATTCTGAAGAATGTCTGGTCTGCTAAAAGGCACCATCATAGACAAGATAATGGTCTCTTTAGAACCATTTAGCTTGTTAGAAGAGCACTGGACCAACAGCACACAGTGTGAGGAAGATGGACCTCCTCCCCTGCAGTGATCAGCACAGGAGCTGTGTACCCACCACTCCACTCTTCCCAAATCCAGCCACGCCAGGGACGTGTCTGTGGCCATGAGATGGCGCCAGGAACCTGCTGGAATGGGCACCGGGGTGCAAACCTACTCCCCCCGGGAAGGGGCTGGGGGCTGCCCAACACACTAAGAGCCTGTTCAAAGTAAGTTGTAGAAAGGCACAATGAAGGCAAAAAGACAAGCAAAGCAAGAGTTCGGGGCCCTGAAGTGCTGCCCCTGGGCTGTGACTGCCTTTGGCTCCCAGCCCTCAGACTATGCAAGAATTGCTGCAAGGAGACAAGCAGCTTTTCTCTTAATAATACTATTAATAATGAGGTAGTAATTATCTTTTTTTGTGCCTGGACTGCAGGCTGAAGACACATCTCTCCTCAGATCAGACAGAATCTTGCCTTTTAATCACACTCTTACCCTCAGCATTATAGGGATCTTCTTGAAGGGCTAACGGCTGAAGTCAAATGATTGCAGAAGCATCTTCACCTATATTTTTTAATGAAATTTCTGACCTCCAGGTGGTAGAGGTGAGCTTGAAAATGTGAAGTGATGGCTTCCTAAAGACTCAAACCCAGAGCAAATAAAAGTACTTTCAAAGCTATTATATTTTTTCAGCCAATTTCATACTGTTCAAGGGCTCGACTTGTGGGGTTTTTTCTCCCTTGGGTTGACAAAGGTGCTTTCTTATCTCCATCCTTTAGTTTCCCAACTATTCTTTAGTGCTACAGGTACCCTCTAAAAAGAGACATTACTTTCCTTGGTCCTTTCACTACCTGTTTCTCAAGCTCATTCCCTTGAGCTCTTTCCCTCACTGCTGCTCTTTGGCTTACTCCTTCCTGAGAAAGATGCAGAGCCTGAACCATGGGGCTAATCATCAAATATTAATTAACTGATAGTATATTAGCTAAGACAGCCCATCTCAGAGTTTGCTCAAGTCTTGAGTCACAGAATCTCCCCATAGCCATCCTCTGTTGTTAAATATAAATTGGTTTGGCTTTTTCAGGATACCACATAAACAGAATTTTCTGGTGGAAAGCTGTTCATGGCTCTGTGTTGTTTACTTTCTGTGGCATAAAATTGCTCATAAATGAGTGAATTCATGGCAGAAGACTTACATTCCACATTTAAATCTCTGGTGACTTTTGTCTTTGGTTTTTGGCTGGCATAGCTCTGAATCTTTCTAAATGAACACCTAAGTTCCTTTTTACTTTTACTCTCTGGATGCCCACACACTGATGTTTGAAAGCTGGCTGTGGTTCTGGCCTTATTAGAGAGTGTTTGAACGTTGGAGTCAGCACACAGGGCATGTGGCACGTTTTCCTTGTGGTATTCACTATTTTAGTTACAGTCTGGACAGCGTGTTGGTAAAGGAGGTGTTCTCATGGCGTACAGATGCATGTGGTTGCCTGTCAGGAGGTGAATGCTTTTACTCAGTCTTTGAGAAATAATAGATTTGTTCGAAATTAAATACGTTTTTTTGCTCCTGGTACGGCCTGAATATTAAAGTGGGGTAAAGGACTGTGATCCTTTTACTCACACTGACAATCATTACTGAGTCAGTGGATCTATTTGTGGAGGTGACTGCCAGCATGAATAAGGGGATCAAAATCTGGTCCAAAATTACTGCCATCTGATACTATTGCAATTGGGAGAACATATTTAAAACAGCCTGTGTCCAGGCTTTTTTGTTGTGATGTTCTTGTGGGGCAGCAACAATCCCAGTTACTGCTGTGAAGGACAAGTGTAATGGTCAAACAGGCCAGAGAAGCACAGGTTCACTGTGTCCTTCTGATGTGGTTTTGAGATGTTTGGTTCCTTCACTCTTCTCCTTACTTGTCAAAAATAACATTAATCAGGCTGCATAACAGGTTGGGGGGTTTATCAGCATTAAAAGCATAGGATTTAGGGCTCCATTCAATGTAAAAGCATTTCTGTGGGCATTTTTTTAAGAAATGGAAACAGAGTATGTATTTCTGTCTTTTTTTTTTTTTCTGCAATATGAGGCCATTTAAAATCTACCCCTCCAAAAAAGATAACATTTGTAAAAATGTCCGACTATAGCACGGTAAAATTTCTGTGTAAAAATCAAATAGTGGCATAGTCTCTTGTGTAAAGAGTTATGTCGACTGCTGCCTTCCAGTAGGTCAGAATAACAACACTGCTGGGTAAGGCCGTGGGACATAACTCAGGAGAAACATAAATGTCTGAATGCAAGTTGAGATTAAAGCAGCCAGTATAGATGAAATATTTGCAGCTCTGTGTACACTGAATTTTGTAACCATTTTAACCTCAAAACAACATAGAATAATGACAATTGTACAGAGCAAGTAAATAATTATCCTTCTGCCCATCCAATGAGAGTGTTTTAAAGTACAGGATGGCTGAATTAGTTGCCAGTCACTGTTGAGGAAGGAATTTTCAGTGCCAGAAAAAAAACACAGCAGTTTGTGGATTTTCTTTTATTCCCTGCACTGTGTTCTCTGTCCTACCATTTTATTGATGACAGAAATTTCTCACTCCACTCAGTCCTCCCCTGTGCTGTTTCCTTTGTGTGCAGTAGCACTGGTCAGCGCGGCACAGGTTGTACCATAGCTCAGAGTTAAGCTGAGAGACTTGTTCAAACAAAGATGATGAGAGCTGATCTGTTTCTGAAGAGAAGTGAAACCATGGAGACCATGGAAACTGCTCAGCTCTGCCGCATCCTCGCTCAGCGGCTGCAGCAGAGCCCGGCAGTGCTGCAGGGGAGGGGAAGGAGCGAGGGCCTGAGCGCTGCCCCGGGGGCTCTGCATCTGGGGACGGGAGACCTGCTGACTTCTGGGGCACCTGCCAGTGTGCCTGGGACACAAAATGTGTGTTGTGCTGGAAGATGGCACTGGAAACTGTGAAAGCTTTTGTAGAAGGTGATTTGCATACCTGGCTCTTTGTTGTCCCTCCTGTGCCCCAACAGCCACATCTGTGAGACAGTGCGGAGGGGAAGTATTCATATTCCCAGCACCCCGTGTTAGAGTGATGCCTACCCAAACTTCTGGCCTTAGCCGAGAGGGGAATTGTTGTTAATAAGTGCAAAGGTTTCATACTCCGAAAGGATGGCATTCTATTCTGGATCTGAGAGTGATACTGTAGGGATGGACTGTTATACCACCCATCCTGCCTGTCAGTGCTGGGCAGCAGCTGTCATTGAGAACTTTAGCAGAAGGCAGGGTTTAATTGACAACTCATGTGTAGCTGTTTTAATGGGTGTCCACATCTGAAGGCAAAGAAGCTGCAATGAACCCCTCCAAGCCACATCTCCAAAGCACCTGTAAGTATGATCTCACTGACTATGAAACAGGAGAGAGGTTAGTGGAGTGCAGTGCACTGGATGAGCAGCACGTGATTACACCTTTTGGGGGAGGCAGGTCTCAGGCAGTTCCTGTAAATCATCACTCCATGCCTGAGCATTTTATAATAACCCCTGATCATGTGTCATTAGTCAGGATGTACCAGGACCTCCCACACAGAAAGGGCAAATTTCCACTACTTACTGTTCACAAACAACTTATGGGAGGGAAGGACTGGACTGAGCAAGCACAGCCCTGAGCTCAGAGGTACAGCAACCAGATCAGGATCCCAGAGTGCCAACATGGCACTTGAATGTTCTCATCCTCTTAGACAAGAGAAGCAAGATAGACAAGTCTGCTGTCACCATGGCATCACACACAGCAGGTATGATGGACTAGAGCAGCAGAGAGCTTAGGCAGCAAACAGCTAGTGGAGGGGTGTTAAAATGCCTTATTTTCATATCCTCCTCAGGATCCTGTGCAAAATGAAAATTCCATCATCCCCAGTGGATTTAACCTGTACCCCCACACACACACTTATTTCTTGATGCTGATTTTTTTCCTTGGTTGATCACACCAAATACAGTACCAATCCCTTCAGGCTGCTCATGTGTGGTGTTTCTTTCCATGCATCAGGGTGTGGGTGGACAAGCATTCATGCTCTGAATTCTTTACAAAGGAGAAGGGATGCTTTGGCCAGGGCTGGGTAGTCATGGCACACTGCATGGTGTCATGTTGCTGGGCTAAAGTAGTGTATCCCAGTGCCAGCAGGTGAGCTTTGCCCTCTCTGTTTAATATGAGGAAGCCAAGACTTGTAGACACTTGCCATGATCACATGAGGACATTCTGATCCTGATCCCATTAATGTCAGGGAAAGCAAGAGCTGACCTTGACTCAACCATGGAAGTGGGAATTTCTTCCTTTTCTGTCATCACCTTACAGTGAACTCAAGCCAAACTATTTCCTTTTCAGAAGCAACATTTGGATCCCTTAGCGATCAAAACCTTTTATCTTTCCTCATGCTTGCTAAGTGTTCATGTATTGGAACAAGAGGGTGTTCTCGTGGCTGGGCATCCAGGAATGCAGCAGTACCTGAGCTGCTGCACGAAGTCCATCAGTGATTTAGTGCAGTGGAAAAAAGCAAAACTTGGTTGTGCCTGAAGTGTGCTACAAGATTTGTAATGGAGTCATTGGGGAAACAAAAACCCGCCCACATACATCACTGGAGCTGCTTATTTGAGTAAAGCCCTAAATGTTTACTTTTAAGCTGTGTTCTTTAATATTTTGTAGTGGTAGTTGATGTAGCATAAGCAGCTTTCTAGGAAAAAATCTGTACGAACAGATCAGGTGGTTACTTGTACCTGTGACTTTCAAGTGTGTGAATAAGATGTTAATTGTATCAAGTTTGTTGCAGCATGTTATTTCTTACATTAAATGTGATCTTTTTTCCTCTCTCTCTCTTTCAGACTTAACCAACATAATGACTGCTGAATATTAAGGGAAAACACAAGAAGGTTACATGTTTGGTTGTCTAATATTCTTGAATTTGATATGAGTCACCACATCTGTTCATTAGTACCATCAACAGCATCCCAGTTTGTATGCACATTATTCACATTCCTATCTGTTGTGTTTGCAGAAATGACATTTTTACCCTTTTTTCTAAGGGTTACTTTTTGATTTTCATATTATTTGGTTGCATGAAGTTGCCCTTTACCAGTGGCTGAGGTTTATGAAGATATCGCATACTTGAACACATTTTACATTCCTTTTCTAGACAGAAAAGGCGTAATTCCAAATTATATCATTCTAAATCAGTGTTTTTTAAACACGACTAAGTCTTAGAAATTAGTCCCCTCCATACGATGCTACAATATCTTCCACGTACAAACATAATTTTAAATTCCCCTATATCCATTCTTTCTTGAGTTCTGATCAGTTTACAACATAAAAGAAAAATTCTTCAGTTGAGGTCACCGCCAAGTTCAATAATGTAATAAAATACCTTTCCTTATTAGAAGTACCTAGCTAGTTATACTCTTAATACTTCTCCAAACCATGATGTAATGTACACTATCTGACTTAGTTCCTATATGTGGAGTTAGTGAAAGTCTTTTTGTGTTTCTTTAGATTAATACAAGGATTTTTTCCAATGCCAACACAATTTGAAATCATTCATTTGGATGCTTTCCATTTTTAAGCTTACTGTGATATAGAACCCTATGGGAAACCAAAACAAAACATCAATTTTAAATAACGAAAGGCTTAAAAAAGGATGCTGTCATTCTGGCTTTTTTTTTCCTTTTGGAAATAGAACTAGACTAGTAAGTAAGCATTCCAAATCCATTACTCTGTGTACATTATTGTTGCTATTGTGATAATAGAGATTTTTATTTATTTTTATGCCAGCTTTTATTGTGAAAACATATTTAGTCTGGTTTTATCAATCCTTGTTATGCTTGTCCTTGGAACATCTTTTGCGTATTCAAGGTTTGTAGTTGATGAGTTTACTGTAAAAAAACTAAAAAAAAAAAAAAAAAACCACAGGGAAAAAAAAACCAACAAAAAAAACACAAAACAAAAAGGAAACAAAAAAATGTATTGTTTTTACAGAATAAATTTATTGGAATGTGTATTGGGAGTAAGGTTTGAGGTTGTAAGCAACTAAGTTAGCGTCATATTTGGCTTCATACGTGTAATAATGTGAGGTATTAATGTAAGTCAAGTATTAAAGCAAAACATTCTGTTAACATGAGTTGACCATAATAGATACAAGTGCAGGTGAGATCTTTTATTTTTTCTGTACTTTGCCTTTTCTGGATAACGGGAGGTCATTAAATTCACCTTGAATGTATTCAAAGTTTCTTTAAAATCATCAGAAGTAACATCGGAGGTTCAAATACTTGTTCGTGAGGCAGCATGTCCTGTGACAGCCTGACAGCTCTGGGTTTGTTTCCCTGGGAGAATGGACTGGGATGGAGCCATCCCAAAGTCTAGTGCACATGGAAGGAGCCCGCAGCAGGGATGCTGGGTGCCTACAAGCCTTGCCTGAGATGTGCTGTGGTTGTTTTGGACCTGTCCCTTTGGCTGGAGGTGTAAAACCTGTAAAGCCTCTCCTCTGAGCACTGCTGGGAACTGCATCACAGCCTTCAGCAGGAGACTGTCACAGCCTGGATTTCTCAGTGCTCTGAAGGTCCCCTCGTGCAGGGGGCAGCACACAGGCACATGAACTGATGCTTTCTTGTTACTGATTAGGTTTAGAAAGAAAACTAAAATTCTTTCAGTCAAAAAACCCAGAAGTCAACATCCTAAAATAAAGTGTTTCCAGTTAAAATGGATCAGCTAATTTCATCTGTGAGAAAGGCACTAAGTGTACTGCTTTTAATATAAACACACATAGGAGGCATAGAAATAGCTGGTAATGGCAAACAGAAACATAAGCTGCCCAAGCCAAGGTCACTGTGTTTGCTGCTGCTTGTTTATGACCCAGCAGCAGTAGCAAAAGTAGCTGCAGAGAACACAGCCAAAACCCCTCCTCTCTGAAAATGCACATACTTGTGTGAGCCCAGGGGTTCACGGGCCTGAGCCCTCCATGCCCAGCCCACAGGTGCTGGTGAGCAGTCCTTGCAGAGGTGAATCCTTAAGAGAATTAACAAAACCATATGATTTGCTTATCATATATGGAGTCCTACCATAACAGTTGATTGCTTCTTAAAAGATTTCTTGGGATTTTTAACAAGGCTGACCCACAAGACATACTTTTTGACAAATAAAACGTGTGCATGTGACAGAGTTATGTATGTTAATTTTTCACGCTTCACAATGCTGACCTTCATGTTCCGCAGTAGCTGTGGAGGGACTGCTGGCACTGCTGTTCTTCTGCGTGCGGAGGCTAAACACTGACATCATTATTATTATTTAACTTCATGCAGTATTTCTAAAACTGTCAAAGCAGCTTACTTAAAAATAGCTGTGGGAACTGGCAATCCACTGCCACGCAAAGTCACAATGTTGAGAAATGGTGCTAAAGGCAGTCGTCTTTATTTTCCCTTTTTGAGTAGGATAAACAAAACAGACCGTGCAACTTTACACAGTTGTGCAATTTTACACATCTTACACGATTCGTTTGGGTTCCATCTGAGCAGTTCAGTTACATCCCAACCCAATTATATACATAGCCAAGGAGAGGAGCTGAAAACAGTCGTGCTATTCTGTTTTATCTTCTTGTTTTGGTTTCATAAAAAACTCTGGCTTGTTGACACACCTGTAAGCGAACAGCTGAGGAAGAATCCCATACATTACGTTCAATATCAGGAAAAACTCTTTTGCTTCTTCAGGGACTCTGTAGATGTAAGGAGTTCGAGCATGAAGAGAAGCACCAATATGGGAAAATTGAGCCTGTGGTGTGTATATAATGTTTATATTAAAAAAGGTGAAGTTGATGTATATTTTGGAAAGATGGCATAATCTGCATGCAAGACTGCATCTCCAGTGACATTTTCCAAGCCAACCCTTTTATTCCAGAATTATCCATCATCCTTTTGCACACTGGTATAAAAATGCAGTTTAAACTAAAATCATTAATATCTTGGTATAAGAGGCATAACTGGAACCATGAATGGCATGGTTGGAGGTTTGTTTTATGCACATGGTGGCACTGATACATCAGGTATAGGATTGCACCCTTGGCTTCTGCATCATACTTTGTGCAAGAGATTCCACGATCCTTCCCCAGGCAAATGGCCACGGAAGTGACATCCCCGCAGAGCCCTGTGCTCCTGCTCAGCCCAGTCAGGGAGTAGGACTGGCACCCACCTGCCTGGGAATGTTGCATTAGGCTTCAGTAGGAGCAGAGAGTCTGAATAAAGTTAGAGAGTAAAATCTTGGAAGCTGCGCTAGTTCTGTTTTGAATTTAGGTTTTATTTTTTAATCTTAAACCCAGAGTGTTCCAGATTCTGATCCCAGAACTCCTGATGATTTCAGAAAATGTCTCCAATATTCGACTTTTGGGCTGGGATGGTTCTGAACTATGGGCTGAGCGTGCAGTGAAGGTTATAGGCACAGACAAGCTTGCTGGCCTGAAGCATATTTTTAGCATAAACAAACATTTAAAGATAGAAGTGTCAGGATANTTTTGTTTCCATCTGTTACCTGCTATTTCAAGCTGCAGCTCATTCACATTAACTATTATGTGTCGAGGTTTTTTATTATTATTTAGTTAGCAGTGGAGGAGATATGAGAAGATAAACATAAGCAAAACACTGAGACACCAGAATTTTAGGAACACAGAGGAGTACACTAAGGCCAAATCACTTCCCCTGTTCTGGCTTCAGCAGGAGTCATTTTAAACTCACAAAGAACACAGTTCTGGTCACAGCAAAGTAGAAGGGAAAATACAGTGCAGGTGTTTCAATACACCATCCCAGCAAAAGGTTAGGCTGAGACCATCCATCAAAACAGAACAGGAAATTGGTTTTCAGGTGATTCCAACCACATCCACTGAATGGGGAGAGCTTATCAAGCAAACCTGAGCTAGGAAACGAAATAATCAACAAAATCAAATACAAACACACTTCAGCAGAGTGCCACTTAGCATCTTTCTGTAAATAGCTATTACACAGCAAACAGATGTTCAGGGGCACGCTGTCAGCAGCCTGTTTACATCGGCCTTGTAATTCAGTCTGCCTCTTGCAGCCCGTTTGTTCTCACCTGCCTCAGGCAGGACTTGCCTTTGGCTCCTGGGTGGGCTCAGATCCCTGCTACCTCTCCTGGCCCAGGCAGCCAGAGCACTAATTCTCAGCACCAAAGCCCACTTGTTACATGAAGCAGCAGATTCCCAGGCAGAGAACCAGCCACCATCAGGCTGCAGAGGAAGTTTGGTCTGTCTGGTGTTTACCTAGACACTGACAACCTCCTGAAAGCATTTTAGAGCCTCTTCTGGGGTGAACAAGACGCTAAGCTACCTACTTGCTGTGGAGGACTGTGAGGTCTGCCTGTCTCTGAGAGTGGCCAGCCATGCATCGCAGTAAGTTGACAGTAAATTCCTAATAATTCATAGTAAACCTTGTCAGAAAGAACTGTAAGGGGATGCCTCTGAGAGACCCAGAACACTCAGAGACTCCAAGATGCCTTTGAGTATCTAAGCCTTATTGTGTGGTCTTGTCTCTTGCAAGAGTTGTGGCACATTAGTGAGCTTTGAGCATTGTAAAACCAAAAAGCAGTAACGTGTCCTGTCTGTAGCCCATGAAGATTTTTACTAGCTGATGATGCACCATATATAATGAAGTTATTGTTTATTAGACTTGTTTTTCAATGTAACACATTGCTTCTTCCTTTCATTACCAGGGAGGATATTTAGATCTGTTAAAGTCACTTTTTTTCTTAATTTATTTGATTTGCCTCTGTAGAAATTGTGTTATGTCTTTAATCTTGTGTGTTTCATTTCCATGACTGTTCTGTGTCTTGGAAGCAGATCTCTCACTCACCAATAGCCCAGTCCTGCTCTTCCTTCAAGTACCAGGCAGACTTACACCAAGTCAATAATTTTGAACAGTAAGACAAGAGCTGTAAGACAGAGCTCTGTGTGCAACAGGCTGGTGCTGTGCTAAGTGAGAGAAACCACAGGTCTGTTGTGTTACCTCGCTGTGATTGGGGGGCGAACAAGCCATTCCTTGGTGCTTTCTGTTATTGAACCCTCTCCAAGCAGGGAATCCCTAAACCTTGGCTGAGAAATCAACCAAATGAGATGCTGCAGGTAACTTTCTAAGGCAGCCTTACATGTCTAACATCCAGCCTTTGTTACCCTTGGAGCCTCGGCCAATCTGCTGATCCCACCTTCCCACAGCAGTTGGAAGCTGCTGGGTGCTGGATATGGCACTGCTCAGCTTGACAACTGCAATTCGTGTATGCCTCCTACTCATTAAGCTTCCTGTCCATAGGAAGTAGTTTGGATTTGGATTATTTTACAATATTTTTTGCCTTGTTGCCTAATCATAGGCAATAGTTCAACTATTTCTTACCCTGTAGCCAAGAAAGCCCTCCAGCTGGGGACAGAGAAGGGCCTGGAAAAAGGTTAGGAGTCCTTCTTTACTCTGTGCCTTCTCTTTAAGACTGACTAAAATCAGGCAGACTGTAGCTTTCAAGGGTTTGGACCAGTTCTCCTGAGCCTAAGGAAAGCCATCCAATAGAGTGGGGAGAGAGTAACCTAGAGAAATATATTCCTTGGGTTTAGGGTCCCAAAGGTAGATAAGTAGGCACTGCAGAAACTAGCCACCAAAAACTGCAGAATTAAACCACTATGAGAGGGAGTGGAGGAAAACTTTCTATGTTTCAGAAAACAGAGAAATTGGCTACAGAGAGCTGGTGAGACAGAATGCTTTTGGATAGCAAGGCTGTGGCTGTTCATCCCTTCTCCCATGGCTCACTTATATACAGAAATACCAATTTCATCAAAGTCATAGACTGTTCCAACCTTTTTGTATAATCAGAGCTCATGGTACTTTACTCACGTGAAATTTAAAGAGCTCCTCCTGGAGCTTCAGAAAGTCTAATAATTACTGGGTCATAACTGGTTTTGGAGTCTAAATGTTAGTAACAGAGCTGAGAGTTACATGTAATTCTGAAAAACAGTATGTATGTCTCTGTGTGTGAAAGGCTAGTAGGCACTTTTAGAGGTTCTTAGTTTAGATGCATCATATGGTATTTTGTGACTTGTTTTTGTAAAAAGTACATCATAATGAAAGAAATAAAAATTGAAGTCTCCACGTTCCCCATCTGTAGGAGCAGTGTTCATTCCCAGGGAGCAGTGCCCACTCCTTCCACCAATGGATATTTACCTTTATTGGACTTTTGTGC